AGAATTTTTCGATTTCTTAGTGGAACTAGAACCTTAGGACTTTGGTAACCAAATGGCACTCACATTGACCTAATTAGTTATTTGGATCCGATTGGGGTGGATGTAATGTTGATCGTAAAAGTACTAGCAAAAATTGTCACTTTTTAGGCTTTGCACTGTGTCTTGGTCTAGCAAGAAACAAAATTTCGTTGCACTATCCATTGTCGAAATGGAATATATTTCGGCGGTAAGTTGTTGTGCACAAACATTTTGGATGAAACAAACTTTTTGTGATTATAACTTACGTTATGATCATGTGCCTATTTTGTGTTATAACATTAGTACTATTAACTTGTCTAAAAATCACGTCATGCATTCACAAACTAAGCAATTCGACACCATTTTCTTCGTGATTGTGTATAAAAAGGAGATATTGTGTTGGAATTTATAAAAATAGAGGACCAATTAGCCGATATCTTTACCAAACCTATTTTCTCATATTCGAAAAGGTTTAGGAATTATTGATGTAAATGAAGTGGTATAAGTTTAAAACTTTCCAAAACTAAAGTTTTTGCATGATTAAAAAAAAAAAATGGCCAGATGACTTCCGATCAATCGGAAAGGTCCACCGGAGAACCAAAAAATTTTGAACTCAAAAAAAAAAAAGTTGGATGACATCCGGTTGACTGGTTTGACGCGTTTTTCACGTTTTAAAATCATCTCATCTTCATTTCTCCACCATTTTCTCTCATTTCTTCTCTTTGTCCTCATAAATCTCCTCCTGATCTCCCTAGATCTACAACTGTTCTTTGTAATTTCAACAAGATTTGAAAAATTCATCACTTTTTTTTCTTCAAACTCTTAAAATCCCCATTTTCTTTTCAACTCCAACACTTCCTTCTCTCTCTTCAATGGTCAATCGCCTTTTAAAATTTTTCCACTTTTCAATCATTATGCCTGGAGTGAAAATGCCGGGAAAGAATCCAAGGATGAAGAGGTACCAACTCCTTCATCAGAGGACGAACCTGAAGTGCTGAAAAATCACTTTGTAAGCCACCATTCTTATAGGTAAGACTGTAGATTTTACCGATTTTACTCTTTAAGCACCTACATTTCATATAGAAGAGTTCTTTGAAAGCATGGTTGAATTTCTATTGCATTCATGGAAAAAAAATGCTAATCCTAAGCTTATGCAAGAATTTTACAAAAAATGGTCTGTATTTCTCGTCCAGGTACTATTTTTTGTTTTCTTAAAGGTGAAAGAGTTACAATTACCCATGCCCTTCTATGTTCTCTTCTTGTATTAGAAGATTGTTCAAATCAAGTATTTTGTCATATGACTCATCAAACCTTTGAAGGTTATAATCCTATTGTTGCGTGCCGTAGAGAAATCGAAAAGAATTTTGAACACTCGATAAAACTTAGTTCAAATTAATTAACTTTACCTTTTAAGGTTTTACACAATATCATTGCCCATATTATTCTACCTAGCAAAGGTTATCTCGATGAAGTCACTTATTTCGATTTGTTCCTTCTCGACTCTTTCTTAGTTGGATGAAAATTAGACTTTCCAACTATAGTTATTGGTCACATGAAAATTGTCCATTCCGCCACTCGCATAAGGGCCTTACCATTTGCATGCTACTCACTAAGATCTTTAAACATTTTGAAATTTCACTAAATGGTGAAGTCTCCGTTTCTCTCCTTCCCACTGACACCATCAATATCTATACTCTTAAATGGATGAAAATTATCAAGGAACATGGGCAATGGGTAGCCCGTACTAAGGGATTTGATCTGGATTCGAGCCCCTCAACCCCACCCTTCGAAGGAGATGACGAAGATGAAGATGATTAGGCCGACGGTACCATCACTAGTTCCCAGCCCTCCACATGACATTCCAAGTTCAAGTGCTCCTCCACCTTTCAGTAGTTTTACTTTTACCGAGAATCACTACAACCTTCTCAATGGACATCTTGACTCTCTTACCTCATCTATTGACAGGCTTGGGGAATGCTTCATCGATTGCAAGTTCAGCAAGACACAATATAAGCTCAACAAATAGCGATGCAAGCTCAGCAAGATGCTTTCTATACTTATTACAATGCTCAGCAAGAAGCCATGCAAGCTCAGCAAATGCATTTTATGCTTGGTTTGATGCACTTTTCCAGCCACCACCTCATGTGGAGTCTTAGACATAATTTTATGCATATGTATTGTAATCTTTATGTTGGTCAAATCTATTAACTCTCGTACTCTTCTATCTTTAATTTGCTTATGTATGCCATCTAAACTATTTTCTTATGCTTGGTGTGTTAAATTAAGGGGGAATGTTGTATGGTATTATTTTGATCTTAAATGCTATATCTTTTTGCTTATGTAAAAGGGAAAATACAGTGAGATGCTTATGCATGATTTGAATTGAACATAAAATATGCCTTGAATAACCTTGAATATGGTCACTAATTTGTAGAAGTTAAGGGGAATAAGGATTACATGATAAATTTATAATGGATATTCTTTTGATATAAATTGTTTAATTTATCTTGTGAATCATCTTGTTTGTCATAATAAAAAAGGGGGAAATTGTTGACATATGATCAGAGACAAATTTGGGGGGCTGGGCTGGGTTGTAGTCTTCCCTCCACTCAGGCCCAAGAACATTTTTTAAGGTATTTTTTATTTTTTTGGTAAAAAATCAGTTTTTTATGTGTAATTTTGTTTTTCGAGTAGTAGCCCAGTTTAAAATTTTGTAACCCGATCTTGGATCAAATCCTAGAGCCATCCCTACATATGATCGACTTCATCTACAATGTTTTGACCATAACAAACAAGATTAATTTTATTTTTAACAAATTCTTTTGAGCGATGATAATTCAGTGTTCAAATTAATCAAGTATCATCGGACTTCAAATGAAGATGAAAGTGGAAGCTAAGTATTCGAGTGAAATCATTCGAGATAAAAGCTTAAAAGAGAAATGCTAATAAAGATCAAGATTAAGAGCATGAGAAATGACATCAAAAGATCAAGACGAGAAGTTTAAACTTCGAACCAAGACTTGATTTTTTAGGCAAAATGTAAAGGTACTAACGCTTTGATATTTGGCAATGAATAATTAAACTTAAAATTTTGCTATGCATTAAAAACAATTTTTGTACGTTAAAAGTCATTCGAATGCAAGTTTTGATCAAACATTAAAATGACTTTTAAAAATGATATTTAGACTTTAAAGACATTTTTATCATGAAAATTTAGTTAAAAATATTTTTTCAAAAGTTCATGCACTTCAAGACTCTCAAATTAGAACAAACGGGGCTAAAACGTAAACGCCTATGTTGACCCTCCCAATAGAGACCAACATAAAAAATTTGCAAACTGGTAGTGTGACCTGAATGTGGACATGTAATGAACAACGAGTTCTTCTATGGAAGCCCGTGTGAGTACCTTATATTTCTATCACAAATGGAGAAAGACATTGGACCGTGGACACTAAATATCATAGTTTTTATGTCCAATGTGTGCAATATTTTTAAACTGTAGACGAAATGGAGAAAGACCTTGGACCGTGGACAGTAAATTTCTCCTCAAAGTTTCTTGATAAACACTAATTGGAATCATCAAACTTACGAAAATGCAACTGTAACTATCACAATGTACAAATGAAATAAAGAGTTCAAAAATAATCAAATAATGTACTGAATGCTACATCCGTCCCACAAAAATAGGCTTGATTTCATTTTTTTTTCTTGTCCAAAATTATAGAAATTTTGAATGTTGTGCTTTCCAATATATGTTTTCAAGTATTTGCATATATTATGCGCAGTATACCTTCCACATATATGAAAACAAGTACAATTAACACATTAATAATAATGAATAGATTACCTTTTTTTGGTTAATAGAAAGCAATGGGAGTGAAAGATGTGATAAATAAAAAGTCAAATCTCCAATAGTCAACAATATAGTCCAATAAATTAAGATGGAGATGAGTTGCGGATGGACGCTCGATTATCGATTGGATAGTCAAGACAGGATTTTTGGGAATGTGGGTAGTTTCATGTCGCGTGAGATGTTATTGTCTTTTGAATTATTTTTAATGGTCGAAGTACAACTATTTGCATCAGGAGTGTTCTGGGCATTATCAAAAGATACTGGAAATTTTTCATCAAATTATGAATAATGAACATTTTTTTTAAAAATTATGAAAGTAGAAAATATTTCGGTATCAATTAAAATTAGTATGATACAAATTTCTGTTGCAATCCCCCCTCCCCAATAATACTGTTCGGTCTAGGCTTGGGCAAAAAAGACCAAATTGATCGAACCTGCTCCGGTCGGTTGGCACAGGTAATTGGTTTTGTTTGATTTTTATTTATTTATTTTTTTTAAAACAAAACCATGGTAGGTTGATTTAGCTATGGTTTAAAGCCTCAAATTGATGATTAATCGAACGGACCCAATCTAATTACATTTTATCTTTTTTCTCTTTACGAAAAAAAAAGAGAAAAAGATAAGCTCTAATATCATAAATATATATAGATACTATTAAATATATAAATTTCCAATAATATTACAATTGAGAATTTCTTTTTACAATCTCATTATGTTATATTTAGCATTTTTTTCATACTCGGGTAGTCATCCACATAATGCATAAAAAGGTAACAAAATTCTTAAGTTTTTAGTTGATATGCATCTATTAACTTGATTTTTATAATATAAAGTTATTTTTTTTTTATATCTTGTAATTTAAATGGTCCAAAACTCGGACAATTTTATTTAAAAAATTCAATTTGAACTAAAAGTCCAAACGGTTTGATTTTGTTCGATTCGGTTTAAGAGTTAAATAGGATGGTTTGGGTTAAGATTCATCAAAATTGAATAATTTGAATTTGATTTTGATGTTGATTTTGATTTTGATTACGATTCCGGGTTAGAGTCTAAACCCATTGAACCAAACCAATCACGGACCTAATTTGGAGAACCGGTTTTTCTTTTTTCTTTTCACTAATAAATAGTTATACGCACAATAACACAATACTGCAGTAAAACCAAGCTCTCGATCAATCTGCAACAATAGAATCCGATCGGAAGAGAAAGAACGCTTCGATCTCTTCTGCAGATCGAAGTCACGAGCGCCATAACCACAACCTTAAGCACAGTAACAAGAAAAAGACCAAAATGTCCTCATCTTCTTCATCTGAAAAAGTTAGGGCTTCCCATATACTCATAAAGCATCAGGGGTCCCGCCGTAAGGCCTCTTGGAAGGATCCTGAAGGCCGTGTTATCAGCGCCACAACTCGTGACGATGCCGTTTCGCAGCTCAAGGACCTCCGCGTTGATATCGTCTCTGGAAAGGCCTCGTTCTCCGATGTCGCTTCCCGTGACTCCGATTGTAGCTCCGCCAAACGCGGCGGCGACCTCGGTTTGTTTCTCTACTTATTTTCAGCTGCCATTTTTACGGATTTATGCTGTTTTCCTGTGATTTTGGGGAACGGATATAAATTAATTTTTATTTACTTGTGTTTTTCCTTATATGAACACTTTTCCCCTTGCAATTGGCGAGTAATTTTAGCAAATATTAGGAATGACGAGAGGAGAATAATTTTGTTAGCACTTGTCTTTTCTGAATTGGTGGTTTTATAGCGAAAAACACTTGCCGGTTGGGTTTAGAAGGAGACATTTAAGGAGGGGGCAGTGTATTGGCGCAGATACACATTAGTAACGCGGACTTAACTGCAATTTCGGCCCAGCTGCAGACTCTAATAAAGTGGAGAACCAAAATACACAAACAAAAAAGGGAAGGAAAGAGAAAAAATAAAAAAGAAGAAGAAAAGGTTACATAATATATTCATATTGGGCACTTTTGCTGAAGAATTACCTCCTACATGGAATCATGCCTAGTCTAAGCCGTCATATAGTGTGCTACTTCAGAAGTCAAATGGCTGCATTCCTTTAGCATTCCAAATCTTAGAAACTAGGGTCCTTGATCCTTGTTCAGCAGAAGCTAATGTGACCTTCTTGAGATCAATGTAAAAATGCGGTTTTCCCTTGTTTGTCTACTCACGAGCATGTGTGTGCGTGTAGGTCATTTTGGTACCTGAAATTGCTGGGATGGAATAGTGGATGTCTATGCATCATAGGCCATATACTGTAGTTAAAATTTCTACCTAGAAAGTTGTTAGAATGTTCGTTCTCTTTCATTCATGATGGAGATTCTAATGGTATTATTGGACTTGACATCAATTAGACTATCCATTTGTCTCTCCCTGTGCATTAATTTGTTCGATTACGGACATAAAAACATAAAAGTGGTGACTGGTCATGTTTTAAATAATTAAAAAGCCCATCACCTAAACCTTCCTTCTCCAGCCTACATCAATTTACAGAATATCAAAATCAACTTGTCAGCAATCCAATCCCAATAATCTTTAATGGTTCTCAAAATCTTCAAAAGAGGAACAACATGAAGCCTAAAGTTTTGGGAAATAGCTATTGTCACAAGCACCCACAAAAAATATCCTCTATCTGTTTATCTTAACCTCAAATTGCCCTTTGTTTGAAAGTGATTATTTTAAAATCATGTTTTCTCACACTTATTTTCAACCACATTGTCCCCAAAAAATAAATAAATAAATAAATAAATCAAATATCACCATATTCCCACAACAGTGCGCAGTTCGATGAAACTGGTGGGTTGTTTGGAAAAGGGACAAAGTCAGCTTTTACAAGTTTGTCACAAAAATATTAAAGGCATTATGTCAAGCAAGTTACCACTGGGCTAGCCCATCTTATTGTTTAATATTCCCACAACAATATGTTTAACAATATGTGTACAATAAATTTGACTTCACTTATTACATAATGACAAGAAAAATAATTCTAATATGTGTCGTTATCTTTACGTTTGAAAATACTGCACAGAAACTTAGTATTTTAGTGATCTAGTACATAAAAAGAGTGCTACTTTTGAAATATTAATAGCTATAAATTATATTTTTCTTTATTATATAGAAGAAACAAATTTCAAACCTATTAACAGAAAATGTTCAATGCGTATAAAGGTGAAATAGTGCAACGCTACAAGTTGAGATGCAGACTAAAAGCCTTGAGGTGCAAATTTTTACACAGCTTTATGATGCTTGATGCATAAGCCTCACAGTGCATCGCCTCAGACAGCCTCAGGCGTGCGCCCCAATTTTTTCCTTGGTATCAATGGATGGGACCAATAATATTAAAAACCCACTTCCTTGTTTTGTCAAACCTGTTTAAAAGTCAATTACTGTCAGGTTTTATCATAAAAGCTGTAAATGTGAATAAAATAAGGATTTAAGGACACAGATAACAAAGAAAATCTCAAAAACATCACCATAAGTTCTGTTGAGCAACGAGTCCCATAAATGATTAAAATTGCTTTGTATCTATTACTTTTTTCCAATGATGGATAGATAAGTTGAGTATGAAACTATATACTGCAACTCTACAACTGCTACTTATAAGATTTATGATGAAAACAGATTTTTTTTCCCTTTTTTTTTGAAACCAGAAATTTGATTTTGATGAATTGGTAATAAGTTTGTTTTCACATGCAGACATAAAAAATTGCATTGCTGTTTCCGAGGTTCCACTCTTTGACAATTTAACTGTGCAATTTTATTGGTGTTTTTATTTTTTTGTTTGTATGTGTTACACTTACGTGGTTTCATTATGCCATGAATGTAAAGTTTGTTTGGGGTTTCTTGTAGGCTTATTTTTGTATTTTATATTTGTTGAGTTTATTTTTTGGTGGGCCTCGCCTCACAAAAGAAAACACACCTTGGTAAAACATTAATAAGTATAATGAATATAAACATTATCAGCAATTCATTAAACACAACTATAAAAAACAATGCACAAAATCATTTGTAATTCAAATACCAAGTATTTCCTTTCACCTTCTATTAGAATGATGTATTATAGGAAATAAAATGTGTAATATCTAAAAGAGTGTCAATAATATGCCTATACTAAAAGGAATTCCTTACTTTTTGTTCACCGATAAACCATTTAGTGTTGGATGAAAGAGAGGTTTATTAACTTGGATCGACTAAGGCTTTTAGGGAGGGCAACACTAATAGAAAGAAGTGAACAGAAGGAAACTTCTATTTCTCGACTTCATAACTTATGCGCTTGGTTTGTTACAAAATGGAAGGACTCTATCTCTTTATATAGGGTTTATATAAAATTTCTAGTCCGTACATTTTTTAGACTCCTAGACCACATATTTTCTTTTTTTTTTAATAAAAATTTTATTATTTTTAATTCAAAGTTATAAGTAAATAATAAATGAGTACTTATATTTAAAAGATTTCAATAAAAAAATTAATAATAAGTGTAAAACTAAATTTATATTATATATAAATGAAGACTTGAAAAATTTAATCAACGCACTGGTGACGTAATGTGTCAGTATATTTTTGAAAAATCGCGTGTCGACGTATCCGTGTTGGTGAATCATATCTTCCCAACATCCCTTGTTAAACTTGATTTTGCTACTCCAAGTAGAGTTTATAGGCTGCGGAATACATCGTGCTTGAGTGTCTTAGTGAGAATGTGGAGGGCCTGATCCCGAGAGGTTACATACTTCAACTGCACCTCTTTCTTTTCAATACTTTCTCTTACGAAGTGATATCTTGTATCAATGTGCTTGCTTCTATCATGGAATAATAGGTTCTTTGCCAATGCCAGTGCCGATTTGTAATAATATGGTTTTCAGTCGGTTCTTCTTGTGAGACACCAAGTGTTTTCAACAAGTTTTTGAGCCAAATCGCATGACAAACACTTGATGTAGTTGCTACATACTCAGCTTCATATGTAGATAGCACCACGATTGATTGCTTCTTCGAGCTCCAAGTGAAGTAGTGTTGCCCAAGTAGAACGCATACCCGGTAGTGCTCTTTCTATCATTAGTGTCTCCGCTCTAATCGCTGTCACTATATCCAATAAGTTTGAATTCATTATATGATGAATAGATTAAGCCATAGTCAAGCGTACCTCTGATGTAACGAAGAATCCTTTTTGCAGCTTTCATATGAGTTATGGTGGATGTTTCTATATAGCGACCGATGAGCCCAACTACAAAGAGGATATATGGTCTTGTGAACGTCAAGTGTCTTAGACTTCCAACAAGACTCTAGAGTGTTGGATCCACTTTTTCACCTTCATCATACTTTGATAACTTGGTTCCACATTCGACGGGTGTGAATACAGGCTTGCAATCCGCTATGTTGAATTTCTTTATAACTTCTTTCGCGTACAATTCTTGTGAGATAAAGATGTCGTTCTCCATTTGCTTTTCCTCAATCCTAAGATAGTAGGCCATGAGGTCGATATCCGTCATCTCGAATTCTTGAGTCATGGCTTTTTTAAACTTAGTGATCATACTTAAATTTTTCCAGGAAATATAAGATCATCCATAGACAGACAAACAAACAAGATATCTTCTTTCTCATTTACCTTTGTGTAAAGGGCATTTTGGGAAGTCATTTTCTAGAAAGTACTTGTCAATTACTATTCCATGCTCTTGGAGCTTGTTTCAACCCATATAAAGTCCTTTTGAGTTTTAAGACTTCACCTTTATGCCCTTTTATTTTATAGCCCATTGGTTGCTCCTTACCAACTTGTTTAAGATAATCATTTAGGAAAGCTGATTTCACATCCATTTGAAAAATCTTCTACTTATTTTGCACGAGAAGAGATAATTAATCTTATGGTTCTAAGTGAGCAATAGGGGCAAATATCTCTTCATAGTCGATCTACGACCGTTGATTGTAGCCTTGGGCGACCAATCTTGTTTTGTATCTCTCAACTTCTCTTTTAGCATTTTTCTTTGTCTTGTATACTCGCTTGACTCCAATTGCTCTTTTTCCTTTGGGAAGAGTCGTCAACTCCCACCCATCGTTCTTTTCAATAGCCTTAATCTCTTCATCCATGACATTTCTCCATCTTTTGCTTTACGCTGCTGCTATATATCTTGTTGGCTCACAATCGTCGACAATCGTCGACAAAAAAAAAAAGACCAAAAAAAAAAATGTGATCATTTTGATTCTTTGTTAACTCATATAGCTCTCGTAGGCTTCTCATTCGTGGTGTCCTTTCCCTTGAGCTTTCTGCTTGTGAAGATGATGGTAAAGCAACTCCATAAGTTATGGAGGTGGAGTGATGGGCTCTTGCTGCTCTTCATTCTCTTGTTCTTCTTTCTTAAAGAAAGGCAAGAAGTCTAGTTTTCTTATTGAACACCCCAATCCCAAGCTCCTTCATCAAACTTGACATCTCAACATCTTATCCTTGCTTGGGTTATACATCTTGTAACCTTTAGAGTGAGAATCATAGTCGATAAAGACATCTTTCAACCTTGTCATCTAGCTTGGACTGCTTTTGATCCGG